AACAATCATTATCGTGTCCTTCAAAACAACAAGAAAGGTACAAATTCAGGTAGAGAGAGAGTGAGAGCGAGAGAGAGAGAGAGAGAGAGAGAGAGAGAGAGAATGTCCAGTTTGTATGTTTGTGTGTGCCTATTATTTCTATTTGAGTATGTATTGTATGTGTGTGTGTATGTGTGTGTGTGTGTGTGTGTGTGGTTTTTGTGTGTGTTTGTGTGCATGTTTCTGTTTGTGTGTATGTATGTGTGTGTTTGTATGTGTTTATGTGTATGGATGTGTGTGTATGTGTGTCTGTGTGTTCATGAATGTAAGGTAACAGATAAATGAACATGTCCTGTTCTTGTGTTTATATTCTTTGGAAAGCAAAAATGTCTCTCTTTTCAGTTTTGGACTTGCAAGTTTTGTGGTCTGAAGCAGAGAATTGCCAAGATGTCTCCGCTGGAAAGGCAAGATGTCATATACTGCGAGAGGCCTTGTGAACCATTGGACAACACAGTGGTTGGACCCCAGACAACTGTTTTTGTCATGGACATATCGGGCTCGATGAGCAAGTCAATGACAGTAAGCAGAAATCTGTGCAAAAGTCTAAGTAAAATTTCATCTCCATCTTTCATTTTTAATCTTATGTCCTTATCCACTTAACTCTTCACTTGGCTGGTTCATGTCCTTCTAGGCTGCAATGGAAGCCATATCTGTTTGAAACCACATTCGAGTATTGGGGACCTTATATTTCTTGAATCTTTTTTGTGTATATATGTGAGGTAGCGTGGTGGAATCAGGCTCTCGTCAAAATTATCAAAGTGAAGAAACTTGCAGTTTTCCACAGGTTTGTGAATTTTTATAAGATTTTTGTTTTTTGGCTCAACACCTTTTGTGCCCATTAAAGAACTCATTTCCGTATGGATTTTTTTTTTTTACGTTGATTAAAGGCACAAAAAATGTACATTTTCAGTTACCACGGACACTTGAGATAAGGAAATAACTAATCTTTGGCGGCCATTTTCTTACTAATTTTACCTCTGAAAACAGGTGACCCCCCATCTCTTTCATTCGCGAATATCTCCACTTGTATTCACGATATAAGAATATTTTTTTCATCCAAATAATGACGAGTGAACAAGCTTTAAGATGATACCAATAACTCTATATGCCCAAAATTGATGAGAACCTGATTCCACCACGCTGCCTCACATATATATATTGATTCTGTAGAAGGCGGACAGAATTTTGAGGTTGCAAGTTACAGTTGACTGTGTCTCTTTTTGAAACTGACTAAATTTCTTGCTCATTAATGTAATTAAAATGTCATGCATATCTTCATACAGTCGAACCTGCCCTGACGGCCACCTCTATAAGACGGTCACCTGTACAAACGGCCACTTTCCATTTCCCCCCTTGCGTTTTTTCTATATAATTTAACTGTGTAAAACGGGCACCTGTCCAACGCGGCCGCGGCCACAATAATTTAACACACAACCCCTATAATACTAAGCAATAATACCTGTCTAAGACGGTCACCTTAGTGAATCCATTACGTTTTGTCATAAATTTTGCATTGGCCCCTGGCATTGTGGGCGAGCCGTCATAATTCAATCACCTGTCGTTGTTGTTAGGTAGTCCCTCCAACCGATCATGTTGCGTAGGCCCCTCCCACTGTTGACCAATAGCTACCAATTTTCAGCTGCAGGTGAGTTAGCGTGTGATCCCTCATAACCCATAAGCCCCGCCCAGAACTCATACACAAATCGTAAGTGAGATGAGTGGTTACTGTTTACCCAGTCTCTAACAAAGTAACAAAGGACGTCAACATGAACTTGTTACAGAAGCGTCCCTCGTTCTCCGAGTGGTGGCGACCCATGTGTTTATTTTAACATGGCACTCGGTCTTCCCTGTCTGATACATTTCGTTTTATTGTCACCTTTGTGCAAAATCAGCGACAAAATAAAAATTAAAAACGAAATACAAACCAACAGCAACAACACCAACAAAGACAACAACAATGCGGCTACTTTCGATTGGGGCCTCAGATGGGAATGGTTTGTTTTCTTTATCTTGATCAGTCCTTCCTAAGACGGCCACCTGTCTTATGCGGCCACTTTTCTCCTTGACAATGGGTGGTTGTCTTACACAGGTTTGACTGTACTTGTGTTGTTACCTTTTTTAAAAAGCTGTACAAAATTTCCAAATGCAACAATAAAGTATAATCTTTTATATCAGACATGGAGTTGTTTTAGCATTGCACTTCGGTGAATTAAATCCAATATAAGCTGATAGCTTATCTCACTCGTGAAATATAAAAATTTGCATTAATTACTTCACTCACAATATCCGCCTTCTAACTTGCTGTAAGCAAAGTATCTATAGACTTGAATCGTAATATTCGTAGACCTTGCAATGTTATGGCAGCCGCTCTTTGCCCCCTGTAAAAATTTCATTGCAAAGCGCGCTCACCGTTGGCGGCCAAATGAAGTGGCAAACATCAGTCCCCTAATGTCCCTATAGATCTAATTGAGAGTACGCATAACTTTCTACTTGCCCTTAATTTTGTTGTAATATTTTTATACGCCTGCGAGTCGAGGACACTTACAGCAGAATTAGGGAAAAAGATTCAGACCACAGAGATGAGATGTTACCGCAGACTCCTTGACATCTCGTACAAAGACCACGTTTCAAATGCTGAGGTACTAAAGAGAATCACTAACGTAGTGGGGCAATATGAAGATCTACTGACCACAGTGAAGAGACGAAAACTAAAATGGTATGGGCATGTCACAAGATCCACAGGATTTGCCAAAACAATCCTGCAAGGAACCGTACAAGGAAAGAGCAAGAGAGGAAGGCAGAGAAGGAGATGGGAGGACAACATTACAGAGTGGACAGGAAAGACGATGGGTGACAATCTGAGGAGAGCAGAGGACAAAAATAGATGGCGAGAGCTGGTTTTCCAATGCAGTGGTGCCCCAACGGTTGCCCCAACCACGGGATAGAAGAAGAAAAAGAAGAAGAATTTTGTTCCAAATTAACTCAAATGGTGCACACCATAGTGAACCAGGATCACGTAAGAGTGCGGTGGGTTTTTTTGTTCAATGAACAAGTCTAGATTAAGCTAGCAAACGGATGCCAGCCTTTGGTTTGTTTCGGTTGTGAAGTTAAAAAATCAAAGTCAAAATCACCTCTATTCTAATGACAGCATGTCATATAAATGAAGTTTCTTAATTTTTCAACTTTTGAATCGTACGTTTTCTATTTGCATTGCCTATGCTTATGTTATTATTGTTTTGTTTGGGGTTTATTTCGCGGATGGAGCCATAAAGATAGCACAACATGTAAATTAGTGCGGCTAAAAATAAAGGAAAAATCCAGATTTTTTTCTCCAATCCTCAGTCTGACTCAGGCAGGTATGACAAAATTTGTTTTCTTGTGAGACTCTCGAATGGATCCTCTTGTCCACTTAACTGGCCATTTGAACTTTGTTGGTACGGAAGTATTTCACCAGCTGATATCCGTATGGTATAAAAAATGTATTACACTTGTTGTGTAGTAGACCATGATTTATCCTATTTGTGAAATTGCCAGTTGAAATCACTCGTTGAAACATATCATGATTACAACTTGGCAATTTCTCTCGTAGGATAAACCATGATCCCCCTAGGCCTATATAACTCATGTAATAACTCATTGCCATGCTGTCACAGATCAGGATTTTAAATCGGAAGTTTTTCGTTTTTCCCACTTTTACTTTTATCCTTGCCATCATTTTCACCATTATTATCATCAACATTCTTATCATTGTTATCATGATTGATTCTCATCAGCAACCTCATCACCACCACCACCATCATCATGTCGACCGCAACAACCACCATCATGTCAACCACCACCACCACCACCACCATCATGTCGACCACCACCGCCATCATCATCATGTCGACCACCACCACCATCATCATCATGTCGACCACAACAACCACTATCATGTCAATCACCACCACCACCACAACCCTTGAATGTATGTTCAGATTGTGTCGCCCCAAAATTTTGAATTGAAATTTTTTTTAATATACAACTTCTTTAATCTGTTGTACCGGTTGTTTGAGCTTGAGAAATATTTTGTTGGAATTCAAATTCTTAATTTACAACAAAAAAAAGCAAGAAAAGATACGTAATGTAGGTATCATTGTTAAAAGAATGAAACTGTTTTTTGGTTTTTTTCGCCTGAAAAATTTGGCTTCTTGGGATTAGAACAGTTGAACATCTTGTTGATGATATGATATTACTTTTCTCATCAACTTGTACTTTTGTCTCAGATAAACCCAGCAACCATCAGTCCTAGCCTTAAGGATCTTGCCTCAACTGAGCAGAGGGAATTGTTTGCAGCCCTTTGTCCAGAGATGGTGGGCCAGCAACTGCCTGGGGTCACGGAGGTCACAAGACTGCAGGTCGTGAAGGATGCTGTCATGGAAGGCCTGAAAAAGATGAACCCGTGCGACAGAGCTGGACTTGTGGTGTTTAATAATGAAGTGAGTCCACTATTCTCTACGCTTTTGTTCGTGAACAAAATCGATTATTTTTTAAAGTGAGTAGAAGTAGCTTTCTTTTTTTTTTTTAAATGAATGTGGTTAATACATGTGTCCAGATGCAGTGGAATCAGGCGCTCATCAATTTTTAGGCATATGGAATTATTGGTATCATCATGAAGGTTGTTCATTTGCCTTGCTTTCAATGAAAAAAACATCCCTTTATCTTAAATAGAAGTCGAGATATTTGCGATTGAAGGAGATGGGGTCGCCTGGTTTCAGAAGTAAAATAAGCAAGAAAATGGCAGCCAAAGTTTGGTGACTTCCATAGCTGAAGAGTCCTTAGAAACTGTAAATTTACATTTTTGTGCCTTTAATCAACGTTTTTTTGATAAAATCCACTCATAAAAGTGTTTTCGAATGGACATACAATGTGTTGAGGCAAAAAAACAAAAATTAGAAAAAAATTCCCATACTGGCAGAAAAATGCTGATTTCTCGTAATTCATTATTTTGACGAGCTCCTGATTTCACCACGATGACTCCCATATATTGATATATATTAAGTGGAATTTCATTTTTATTTTGTAATCTGATGGTCAGTTTTGATGGAATCAATCTTATAAGTAAACAAAAGGTTAATTTGTTGCGTGTGTGTGAGACCTCAAGGTAAACACAGGGTTAATCCATTGTGTGTCTGACGCCCTGTCGGGAGACACCTTAGGAATTTATTTTCCGATGAGTTGGGGTTTTTTCATTTGGTGGTATAGTTTCTTTCAAATACAGTCCAACCTGTTCTCACGACCACCTGTCCAAGACAATCATCAGTGCAAAGGCCCACTTCCCCCTTCCCTCCTTGTGTTTTTTCAGTATTGTGATCTCTCTGTCCAAGAGGACCACCTGTCCAAGAGGACCTCTTTCTTCCTTGACAATGAGTAATTGTCTAGGACATAGACTGTTAAACCACTAGCAGTGGGTTGTGACACCGGTGGTCTAGTAATTAGGCTGTTGGGCTTGCAACCTAAACGTCGTTGGTTTGAACATCATCTGACATTGCGAGCGCCGTAATACCCTCTACTGCACTGTACATTGTGTCCTTGGGAAAGGCACTTTATACAAATTTTCCTCACTTCACCCAGGTGGGAGTGGGTACCGGTCTATAGACAGTGAAAGATTTTGTTAGTTTTTTAGTGTTTGAGTGCTTAATCGGCTGCTTGCACTGTATTCTTCACAGAAAGCCAAAAATGTTTCTGAGCATTTTTGAGTCTGCTGGGGTAATAACAGTTGTAAACTGCATAGAGCATGGTGCAGAATGTGTATCTAGTGCACTCTTTAAATATTATTATGATTGTTATAATAATAATAATGATAATAATAATAATAATGATTATTGTGGTTATTATTATTTATTTTTATTATTATTGTTATTATTATCATTATTATCATTATTATTAGTAGCAGCAGTAGTAGTAATTTAGTGGTTTACTTACACATGTAACTCATGTCTTCCATGTTTCCAGGTGACAATATATGGAGATGGAACGGCTCCCCCCACGGTAGTGTCCGGCGGTCAGTTGTTTGACCGTAAAGAGCTACTGCGGATATCTGGAGAACTAACGTCATTAAGTCCTTTAACAAATGAGGCCAAGCAGAGGTTGCTTGGAATCGTGAACAGGTTTGTTTTTGCTGGGGAGTGTATGTCCGAGAACTGGGTTGAGAGTAAGGGCGGGCACGAGACGAGCCGAGTACTCGAACTGCGGGGTGAGAAGAGAAATTGGTCACGAGACAAGAAATATTGCTCGAGACATGAGACGGAAAGTATTTCTCGTTCCCAGGACCGGTCTCGGCGGGAAGTAGGTCAGCTTCTCGGTCTTCTTGCTCGAGAGGGAAAAAGTGCTTCCCGCCCGTCTTTAGTTGAGAGAGGCTCTTAGTCACTGCGCTAGCACAATGACATAATTCAGAGTTGTGCTAAAATGTAACTAGCCTTCTGTTTTGTTTGGTGGTACTATATATTTAACTTTTGGTAAAAATCAAAACAGAAATGCACTGGCTATAAAAAAGAAACGTGCATGGCAAGTTTTACCATTATTAGAAGATAAATAGTTTAGTAAACAGTTTTTTCCACATTTATCTCAAAAGTAGCAAAAATGAGTGGTGCCGTTTTGCTAGCGCAGTGAGGAATTTTACCTCTTGCACTCAGTAACAACGCCATGACACGTTAAAGAGAAGAACAAGAGCAAGTTTTGCAGAGCTGATTGATTGCAGAAAATTCTGAATTAATTCATTGTGCAGTACCCTCATAAATGATTTAGTTTGAGTCAATTGGGGCATAAAATACCAACTATCGCAAAATACAACACGTATTATTCCATTTAGTTGGTCTATATCTGACTCAACCAGTTGATGCTGAATCTTTGCTTGTTTATACTGCGGTACATCCTCCCAAAACTTCCTACATGGCTCTATAAAGTTTATCTCATTTTATCCTATCTTATCTTGTCTTGTCTTATCTTGTCTCATCTTGTCTTATGTTATCTATCTTACGGTATCTGTAGCCTAAAGGAGGGAGGAGAAACTGCTGTGGGTCCAGCTCTGTACCTGGGAGTAGCTCTCGCCTCACAAGCCAAAGTCGCTAAAGTTGTGCTCTGCACTGATGGGCTGGCCAATGTGGGACTTGGAACCTTGGAAAATGTTACCTCTGAGCAGGAGACAGACGCTAAAGAGTTCTACGAACGAGTCATCACTGAATGCCAGCACAGCGGGTGAGTTTATGATGTATCTACTTCAGTGCAAAGTGCTGCAAAACTTTGAGGATTTGCCATTTGTCTCTGTTGCTGTAACATAATGAAGTTTCATTTTGTTGCACTGTGTAGCCAGCAACTGTAGCACAATGTAGCATGTAGCTGTAGCACAATGTAGCCAGTAGATGTAGCTGAATGTAGTATGTACTTGTGTAGCCAGCAGTTGTAGGACAATGTAGCTGTAGCTCAATGTAGCATGTTCTAGTGTAGCCAGTAGCTGTAGCACAATGCAGCTGTAGCACAATGCAGCTGTAGCACAATGCAGCTGTAGCACAATGCAGCTGTAGCACAATGTAGCATGTTCTTGTGTAGCAAGTAGCTATAGCACAATGTAGCATGTATCTGTAGTACAGTGTAGCTTGCATATACTTGTGTAGCCAGAAGTTGTAGGACAATGTAGCTGTAGTACATTGTAGCTTAAGCACAATGCAGCATGTACTTGTGTAGCCAGTAGCTGTAGCTCAATGTAGCATGTAGCTGTAACACAATTTAGCATGCAGCTGTAGCACAATGTAGCATGTGGCTGTACTCAATATAGCATGTAGCTGTAGCACAATGTAGCTGTAGCACAATGTAGCTGTAGCTCAATGTAGCATGTGGCTGTACTCAATATAGCATGTAGCTGTAGCACAATGTAGCATGTGGCTGTATAGCCTGTATTTGTAACACATTATAACTCGTAGTTGTAGCACACTACAGCCCATAGATGTAGACTATTTGGAAACTTTTTTGAGTGCTTCTCTCAGCCTCAGAAAGTTGAAAACTTTTACAAGCTGAAAATGTGAGACAAAGAGTAAATCTGTTGCAGTTGTTGCACAGAGTAGCTTGAGCTGTAGCACAGTGTAGCCCTTAGCTGTAGCACAGTGTATCCCTTAGCTGTAGCACAGTGTAGCCCTTAGCTGTAGCACAGTGTAGCCCTTAGCTGTAGCACAGTGTAGCCCTTAGCTGTTGCACAGTATCGCCAAGGTATTCATTGAAAGCTTTCATTGAACTTTGGAACCAGGAAATACACTGCAGCTAACTACACTTTCCTTGAGGAGTACTTTTTGTTGAGACTCACTGTGGTAAATTAAATAAAAAAGCTAAAACAGTTAAAATTGTCTGAGGCAGCCACTGATGGTTGAGGAGAAAAATGGTTGTCTTATACAGGTGACTGTCTAGGGCAGTGTTATTATCATATAGAAAAAATCCTAAGGAAGGAAGTGAGAAGTGGTCATTTGTACAGGTGGTTGTCTTGGACAGGTGGCCATCAGAGCAGGCTTGACGGTAATAGTTTACCTAATCTCATTTTCATCTAATTAAACTTTTCAGCTTTCTGAGGCTGAGAGAAGCTTTGAAAGGTTTCCAAATAAAGACAGAATTATGTACAATTACAGTTCTCCATTTGTTCATTTGTAGGGGGGGGGGGGGTTGTGTGCCTTTTTGTTTTGGCAGAAAGACCAAAAAAATGTGTTCAGTTAAGTGTGTATTTTAACACTTTTTGGACGTAACTCACATGTCATTACATTAACCCCTTAATTGCTGTGACATTTCCATCTACATTTGCTCAAACAAGATAAAATGTTCCTTCAAGAGAGATTTTCAACATAGCCATAATATACTTTCCCTAAGAATAATCAACAGCTCAAGTAGTTATTAAGTCTCCTAAAACTTCTGCAATAAAAAAGCAGAAAAATGGCAGAGAACCAGTCTGCGAGAACACAAACTGATACACACATCTACGAAGTGGTGAAGAGGTTGAAAAATTACTGGTTTTATTTAAAGTCATTCTTTCGGGTTATGTCCTGAAAGGGTTAACATCATAAGTTCAATAAATCCGAAATATTGCTCAGCATTCTGTGCTTAATGCATTATTATTATGAAAGTTTTTCAATCATGGAAAGATAAAAGTTTCATGTATCTTCCTTCTTTCCTTCCATCCTTTCTTCCAGGGTGTCTGTGCAACTCCTTTCTTTCTCGGACTGCACAGTGGGTGTGGAGACTCAGCTGGGAGCCGTGCCGGTGGAGACTGGAGGAATGGTAGGAGTCGGCTGCTCTTAGATACCTGTACAGTGCATAGAGCTTGCTGTAGAGCATCTATATAGACTATATTGATTATTATTATTATTATCATTATGATGATGATGATGATGATGATGATGATGATGATGATGATGATAATTTTTGCTCTCATTTAGTATTTTAACATGTTTGTGAATTTTTGTGCGTGTGGTGTGTGTCTGTATTTGTTCCTGGGTGTGGGAATTTAAAAAATTCCTAGCTTCTTTTAGTGAAGGTGTTTTTATGCTACTATCAACACAGTTTAGAATATCTAGGAGGTAGACTTTGACTGTGCTACTGTGATACTGCATCCCGGCAGAAAGAGTGGGATACTCAAGTAAGAATTCTCTTCGCTCTGCCAAATCGACCTCAGGTCTTCAGCGTGCGACAGCGAAGTGCCTAATTGCTACACCACAGACACTGGTGTATGGGTATTAGTATTTTTGTGAGCCTGGATGTAGAGTTGACACTGTGTAAGACTGCCAGCCACTGTCGAGGAG